CACACCACAAGCCACAAACCACACACACACCACACACACCACATACCACACACATACACACACCACACACATGGCCCTTTTCTCTTTGTTAACTATAAACCTGTCTGTTGGACAAATTCCAGAGACATTTGTGCCATGGGAGCATGGTGGAGGAAAATTCCCAAATTCTAAGAAATCAAAGACTTGAAAACCTCACCGGTGTTCACTGGAATGCTATCAATATGTTAAAAGCAGTTACAAAGTGAAAATGAACACCTTTCTTGGCTGCCAGGATCTTGGGCACTTTTGCTTTGGTTGTTTCTATAGTTACAGATGGGGAGACAGGCTGAGTAGAGGACACCAGAGCTGAGGGCGGTGAAGTGATAATGGGAAAGCAAACATACCACAAGCCAGTGCCAGAACCTGAACCTGCATCCCTCAGCTCTGAGATCATTCCACCATATACCACACTGACGAAAACAGCTACTAGTCTTCTACTTACTTGAGAACAAAATCTTACAAACCCATTTAGCTATTAAAAATCATGTATTGGTTAGACTCGGTGGGTCTCCCTAATCCCAGTTCCACAGGAGGTAGAGATAGGGAGGATCACAGTTCAAGGCCAGCCCAGGGGAAAAAGCTAGTGAGACACTGTCTCAACCGATAAACTGGGTGTGGTGGTGAAAGCCTGTGATCCAAGCTCTTGGGAGGCTGTAGGTAGGAGGATTGCAGTCTGAGGCCAGCTCTGGGCAAAAACGTGAGACTTCACCTGAAAAATAACTAAGGCATAAAGGACTGGGAGCATGGCTTAAGTGTTATAGTGCCTGCCTAGCAAGTGCGAAGCCCTGAGGCCAAAAACAAAATCATGCATCCATTGCTCTTGAGCTTTTCTTGGGAGATGGAGAGATTGAGGAATATTGACTAACTTTTCCCCTTTCTGGAGTCTCTCGGAGTTTTCATCAACTAAAATCATGGAGCTTAGACTAAGATCTTAGATGTCATTTATCCCGAGAGTTTCAAAATGTTTCCAGCAGAGAATTCTTTTTTCCCCAAACATAATTTTTCATGAAACGCTAACATATTTACATAGACAAAAGCAGAGCCTTCTGACAGAGGGGCTGAGCCTTTGCTTCTGAACCCACGTTCTGAGAACTCACCAAAGCCTTCATTAAATAGCTGGAGGAAATGGGGGCCAGAGAGGTAAGGGCATGCCATAAACACTGTGCAACACAGAAGCAGACCTGGAACACACCCACAGCAACCTTGACACTTTGCCCAGTGCTCTTTCCATAGCATCTTGATCTCTGACAGAACCAACCTAGACTATGACCCATGGAACGCTGAAGATCCAAATAAGCAGGAGAGTGTTTACCCCAAACTACTAGCAATGGTACAGGATGCACAGCCCTGAGACAAGTCAGGCTGGTGTACAAAGCAAGAGGTGAGATCTGGAAGCCAGAGGCTTAAGTTAGAGATTTGTCTCTGCCTGGTGACAACCAATTCTTCAATTCACTTCCCTGAACCCCAGATTCCTCATTTGGAAATGGCATTACTACCTCACCGAGAGCTGAATAAGAATCAGTATCACAATGCCTTGCTCCCTTGTCTGCTTCTGCCACTGCACTCTGAGCAGTGTTCAAAGATAATGTCTGTTTTTCTCTCAGTTTACCCTCAGTGTCTGTCTAGAGTTAGTGTTCTATTAATGCTGGATGATGTTGTGAGCGTATAATGATAGCAATAATGCCTAATAGGTGCTGGGCATTTATTCCATAATTCTAAACACGTGAAATTGATTACTTAATCCTTGTCACAACCTTATAAGACTGATACTATTATTGCCCCTATCATACAACTGAAAAATGCAAAACTGACTTGCTTGCCTAGTGTTCCAGAAGCAATAAACTGTAGAGAAAAGATCCACAGTGTCATGGTCAAATCTAAGTTCAAGCTCTTAATCACTATGTTCTTTAAAAGTAGCAAAATGGGGTCAACCAACAGTTACCAGCTGGGGAACGAAGCAGCCTTCATAGATAGATAAGCATCACTAGGCATCCACTGAGAGAGATGAAAAGCAAATTCCAAGAATTTTGTTCTCGCTGACTATCATAACAAGAATCAAGAGAGGGTTAGAGAACATCCCTCAGAGGTCAGAGTAATCAAAGTATTCCATCATTCACCTGTTAGGACCATCCATCTGGTTCAGTGTGTCTGTAAGAGAAACACTCCCAAGTAGGCAAATAGCCAAGGGGAGAGACCCAAATCCAAAGAATGGGTAGGAAGGAGGTAAAGCAAAAACAAAGCTGACAATGCACCAGCAATGATTCCTGTGGTCAGCAACCTCAGTGCTCCCAGTTATATATATGTGTACATACCAGAAAAGCCATGGTCAGCCATGAGGTACATATGTGTGGTCACAATGCCTGTCTAATGACATTAGCAGAGTCAAGAAGGGTTATGGTCATTCGTGACAGAGCCATGCTTAATACCAGAGGAGAGTAGTGCACACCAGGGTTACACTTCAGACACTGTAAGGTCTTTTGGGTGCTGTCATGATGTGTACGACAGTCAGAAACTGAATAATGGGGCTGATGGAGCACTGGTCTAACTCTGTGTGATATTCTTCATGAGAGTAAGTAATTAGTAACTATGGTAATGGATACAAATCTTTTTGGGGGAGAGAGGGATTAGGACTTGAACCCAGGGCCTCACACAGGCTAAGCATGCCTTCTGCCCCTGAGTACACGCCAGTCTCAAGTTCTCTCTTTGAAGACAAACTGGGCTGTGTGCTCATGGGTTACTGATTTACACTGCATCGACAGAAGCTTTGGTGATTTTCATTTTCCAATTATTGAGAAGATTTCAAGGAGATGGTTGATATCCCATCATTTTTCATCCCTTATAACATAGCTACATCATGTGAAATTTCTCAGTTGCTTAGACTCTGAAGTAATCTAATGAAACCCATTTTCTCATTCTGCACCTACATGTAAGTTAGTGTTTCAAACATTTGACAGATTCTCCAAAATAGCCAATATGAGATAATGGGATTTTTTTTTCCAAAAGGTTTGTTTGTTTTTAATTTTCCTCCCATAAGCAAATTTAGTTTTTGAAATTTTAACTTTGAAAAATGAAAATAAAGAGCAGCAAAGCAGGTCTCCAAGACGGAGCCTGAATTTTTATGCCTCTTTAGGCAGACAAACATTAGTCCTTCCCAGAACTAGAGTGGCTGTTGTGAAGAATGGAAACTTGCTGTTTTCTCCATATGCAGATAGCCTGTTGTCACAGAGTCCTGTAATAACGAACAACTTCTCAATATTTAATAAGGCTGGCATTCCTGTCCCCAGGCGGAAAGCAGAAACAGTCAGTAGCCAGTTACTAACTGACCATTAAAATACAGAATCTCTCTTTAAAATGTGCTTCACAGATAGGTTACATCACCTGCAGTGGGGAACTAGTGCCGCCCTGGGTGGGGAGGTGGTTGAGAGAACTGGCAGGGGTGGTGAGCTGGCTCAATATTCAAACGAGGCCACAACACAATCCTGTTCTGTGACAGGGCTTCAAAAAATTAGGGAGCAAAGCCCACTGAACAGCTCTTCTTTGTGCTGTGCTGTCACCACCAAGAGCTGCCAAGCAAGTGGAGATGAGGAAACTGGCCGTGAGATTTTTCTAATGTAGGAGAATGAATCTGTTCTGAAAGTGTTTTTCCTTCCTTTCAGCTTGCTTGAACAGGGAGTGTTTATGCTGTCTCATGTGTACTGTGTGAGTGTAAATATATTGCAACCATAATGCTCACTAATTGGGCCAAATGCCATCGATTCAGAACGATAATATTTGAACATTGTAGCATTTGATGTCTTTTTTCTAATTCTGGGAGCAAAAACTAATGTTAATGTAATTATATGGAATTTCAGGAAATCATTAATACAATTAGATGTTTTCTGAATAACAGAAAAGCTAACATAATGAGTTCTCCTTATTCTTATTAACCATTAAGAAAAGACATTTGGCTGTAGCCATAACTTCAGGTTAATACAAATATTCCCACACTCACATTAAGCATATGGTTTAAAATTTTTTGGGTGGTGCTGGGAGTGATGGTTCATGTCTATAATCATAGCTACTTGGGAGGCTAAGATCTGGAGGATTGCAGTTCCAGGCCAGCTGGGGCAAAAAAAAAAAAAAAAAGTTTGCATCCCAACGGAAAAAAGCTGGGCATGATGGCACATGCCTGCCATCCCAGTTACAGTGGGCAGTATAAAATAGAAGAATCCAGGTTCAGGCTGGCCTGGACAAAAAGTGAGACCTTATCACCCAAATAATTAGAGTAAAAAGGGCTGAGGGCATGGCTAAAGGAGTATAATGCCTGCTGAGGAAGTGCAAAGCTCTAAATTCAAACCTCAGTACCACCAACCCCCCAACAAATCCCGTGAACAATGCTACACTGAACATGAGGGTACAGGCATCACTTCCGGCCCCTGATTTCAACTCTTCGGGCTACATATCCATAAGTGGGGTTTCTACAACAGGTTGCAGTTCTATTTTTAACTGAGGAATTTGTTTTTCATAAATGTTATAATAATTTATATTCCTAGCAATACTGTACAAGGGTATAATTTTTTTTACAGCTTGAGCACTTGTTATGTTTTGTTTTTAAAATAGTGTCCATTCTAATAGGTCTGAGATAACCGATCTTGGTGGTTTTGGTCAGTTCTCCCTGATGGTAAGTAAAGTTTAGCATGTTTTCATCTACCTGGTAATCATTTGCTTCTCATCTTTTGAGAAATGTTTACTCAAGTCCTTTGCCTATTTTTCAGTCAGGTTATTATTTTTGCTGTTGAGTTGTAGAAGAGTCTTAGATATTTTGCATATTGACTTCTTATCAGATAAATGATCTGCAAACATTTTCTCCCATTCTGTT